CATATAGGTTGAAAAGGTATGGAGACAGGATGCATCCCTGGCATACGCCCTTCCCAATTTTGAACCATGCACTATTCCCTTGCTCTGTTCTGACGACTGCCTCCTGGTCCAAGTACAAGTTTCGCATTAGAACGATCAAGTGTTCTGGGATTCCCATTCTTCTCAGAGTCAGCCATAGACTGAACAATAATAAAAACATAAATTAACAAATTGCCTAAAGCAAGGCTCAACGGGGCATTTATAGTTTTAAATGCTTACACATGAGTACAACAAATACTGAAAAGCCAAGGATTTATGCTTCCACTTTCAGAAATTAGAAGAAAAAAAAAAACAGAACAAAAGAAAAAGAAACCAAATTGACAGTTTTCAGAAAAGGTCAATGAGACAGATATCCAATAAATCTGAATACTTCTAGAAAATGAAAAAAATTAACAAAACAGAAAAAGGAGGAAGAGTTCTTAAAATATTAATAACTTTATAGCTAATAAAGAAATTTAACTTATAATTTAAAACCTTTCAATAAATAACCCTTTAGGGTGACTTTATTGCTGAATCCTTTTAAGCATTCAAGGAGACATGAATACAAATGTTCCACAAACTATTTCACAAAATAGACATAAAGGGAACATCTCTACTCCTTTCAAAAGATTAGGACTATACTGATAATGAAAGGCAAAAAATCATTACAAGAAAACTCCAAACAACTCCCTCACCACCAATCTCTTTCTTTCTCACACGCACACACATCCATACACAAAAGATTTGAACAGATCTTTCCTAAAATACATAAAGAGGTTCAACATGATCATTTTTCAAAGAAACATAAACACCAATCAAGATACATCACTACATACCCACTAAAATGAATTGTCCAAATTAACTTGACAATAAAAAGGACAGACAAAGATGTAGAGCAAATTAGCAAATATTGCTGAGGACAAAGAGGTAAAATGGGAGTGCAGTAGAAGATCTCTGTGAAGATCTTCAGTTTCTAATAAACTTAAGATGAACTTACTATAGCACCTAGAATGTTCATAGATGCTTTATTACTAACAGCTCAAATCCAGAAACATCAAAAAGTTAATCATTATGTGAATAAATAAGCTTTGATATTTTTACACAACACAATGGCAAAAAAAGAAACCAAATTACTGGTATGTTCAAGAACAGGGGAGAATCTCTAAACCAGACACACTAAGCAAGAGAGTCCATATGTAAAGTGGATTCCATTTATAGAAAATTCTGGGAAAAAACTAATCTATAATAACACAAATCATAAAGAACACAGTTACTAAGGACAATTGGTGGGATGATATTCACTGTAAAGGATTCAAAGAAACTTTTTAGGTGGTGTACATGTCCTAATTCCTAATTAGGGTAGTGGTTACACAGGCGAATACATTTATCAAAACTCAAAGAATACATGAATTACAAGTACATTGTTTTTACATGTTAATAAAGATGATATATTTAATAAAGTGAGAATAGCATATGGGTAGACAAAAAGTTGAGTATCAGTTTCACATCATTCACAAAAATAGTTGGATTATAGATAAACATAAAAAATAAACCCACAAGCATATTAAAAGAGAAGTTAAGAGGTATGTATGTTAATCATCATAAAGAAAGGAAAAGCCTTATCAAGACATTTTTTAAAAGCAAGTTATGAAGGAAGATATGAAAATATCATAATCTTCTACACCATAAAACTTAAAAACAAGATGCTGAAGGATATATCCTTATTACATACAAGGAATTATCAGAATTCAGAATTTAAAATTATAAAGGAAAACAAAACCAAACCCTCCTAAACTAGGTAAGAGAAGTAACTTAAAGAGAAAAGGCAAATTTATCCACATAGAAATCAAATGGATGGCAGATGTGTAAAGATCAAGGTGATTAGTGATCTAGGAAATAGAATGTCATTATTCATTCAAAAGATTGCTGCTTACTGTGTGCATGTTAGAGATGCTAGGTAATGCAAGTGCAAGTATCAACTGGTACAACCACTAGTCAGTCAATTTCAGAGTATATATTGAATACTTTCCACACGCAGTAATTCTTGCTTTTTACCCTACTCATATGTACACATAAAGCATGAATAAAAATATATGCTAGAGTAATGATTATAGAGATGAAAAGTTATAATCACACAAAAAGCCAAGGGGGAATGGCTAAGTAAACTGCAATACATTTATATTGTGGATGCAATTAAAAGAAACAAGATACTTGTGTGTGTCTCTGTGTGTGTATGTATATGTATATATATATTTAAACATGAAAAAGTGTCTAAGATCCTGCTGCCTAATTAAACAAAATATTTATATGTAAATAAATAAAAAGATGCCTACATATAACTGAACACTTGAAAAAAATATATCTGAAATTGGCTCTAGTGAAGGAGTAGAACTGGAGGAAGGTCCCTGTCAAACTTTCATTAAGAATGTATTCTTCCCACAACCAGGAGAAGATAAAATAGATGAATGGGATCGTCTAAGACTCAAATCCCTATGCACATCCAAAAACTTCTCAAACAGGATAAAAAGGGAAGCCACCGACTGGGAAAAAGTATTTGGTAGTAACATATCAGATAAGGGACTTATACCCAGAATTTATTAAATACGTGAGGACCACAACAAAATAAAAGTAAATAATCCAATAGAAAAATGGGCACAGGATATGAACAGGCACTTCACCGAAGATGACATTCAGATGGCCAACAAGCACATGAAGAAATGTTCAAAATCCCTAGCTCTAAAAGAGATGCAAATTAAAACAACTGTATCATCTTACCCCAGTCAAAACAGCAAAATTTAACAAAACAGCAAGCAACAAATGCTGGTGAGG